GAAAATTGGGATTTTTGGGGGTTAAAATTCTGGATTTTTTGGGCTGAAAATTGGAAATTTTGGGGGTAAAAAGTTTGAAACTTTGGGGGTTAAAAATTGGAAATTTTGGGTAAAAAATTTGGACTTTTGTGGTTAAAAATTGGGATTTTTCTAGAGTAAGAAATGGTAATTTTTGAGGTAAAAAATGGGAAATTTTGGAAATAAAAATTGGGATTCTTGGCGTTTAAAAATTGGGAATTTTGGGGTAAAATTTGGGACTTTTGGAGTAAAAAGTGGGGATTTTTGCTGTTTAAAATTTTGAATTTTTAGGAGTAAAAATTGGAATTTTGGGGGTAAAAAATAGTGGAATTTTTTTGGGCAAAAATGGAATTTTTAGGGATAAAAAAATCCGAATTTTTGTGAGGAGAAAAAGGGAATTTTTCAGGTAAAATATCTGGATTTTTGGGTAAAAAATAGGAAATTTTGGAGGTAAAATAAATTGGATTTTTTGGTCCAAAAAAGATTTTCTTAAAAAAAAATTGAATTTTTTTTGTGTAAGAAATGTGATTTTTGGGGGGTAAAAATCCGGATTTTTTGGGGTAAAAAATCTGGAATTTTGGGGGTAAAAATTTGGAATTTGAGGGTAAAAAACCGGAAATTTTGGAGTTTAAAAATGGAGATTTTTGGGGTGAAAAACTGGACTTTTTGGGGTAAAAATAAATGAATTTTTTTGGGTAAAAATAATTGGAATTTTTGGGGTAAAATGGGAATTTTTGCTCAAAAATCAAAAATTTTCATTAAAAATTATGATTTTTAGTGAAAAAATTAATTTTGAGGCAAAATTTCCCTTTTTAGAGCCAAATTTGTCGATTTTTGAGGGAAAAGTCGAATTTCAGAGGATTTTGAACAGAAAAAATTCATATTTGGGGCTAAAAAATTAAATTTTGGTTAAAAATATTGATTTTTAGGGAGAAAAAGTGAATTTTAGGGCAAAATATTCAATTTTAGGGAAAAAAATCGGATTTTTGAACTAAAAAATGCGATTTTGAAGAAAATTGGGATTTTTGATTAAAAATTTGGATTTTGGGGGTAAAAAGACCAATTTTGGGGGGAAAAAATCAGAATTTTTTGGGGGAAAGTTAGATTTAGAGGAAAATGCGAATTTTAAGGCGAAAAAAGCCGATTTTGGGTAAAGAGCAGCAGAGCTGGGGGTGAAAAATGCAAATTTCGGAGGGGGGAAAAAAATGCAAATTTTGGGTCTAAAAATTCGCATTTTTGGCCCCTCCGCCCCTTTTAGGGGAAATCCCGACGGTTTTGGGTAAAACCGAAACTGACGGGCGGCAAAACCGTTAAATTTGGGGTGAAATTTGCATTTTTTGGTTAAAAATAATCGGGTCGGTGGAAAAAAAGAGATTTACATGAAAAAATGAGAATTTTTTGGGGCAAAATGTGAAGATTTTGGGTGAAGAATTGAATTTTTTTAATGGTAAAAAATCGAATTTTGGAGTAAAAAAATCTAAATTTTTGGGTGAAAACCGTGAAATTTTGGGCAAAATTCGCGTTTTTGGATTAAAATAAAAATTCACACAGAGAAGCAGCAATTAATTTAATTTTTTTTATTGGGAAATAAATACAAATTTTGAGGCAAAATTCCGCATTTTAGGGAAAATTCTTTATTTTGGGGTAAAATTCTTCACTTTCAGGGGAAAAATTCACAATTTTTAAGGCAAAAATTCACAATTTTTAAGGCAAAATTCCACAATTTTAGGCGAAAAAATCTACATTTTTTTACAAATTCACATTTTTACCATTTATTCCCTTTTTAACCCCAAAATTCCCTTCCCCCCCCCCCAAATCCCCATTTTCACCTCGTTTCCATCCCAAATTTTCATTTTTTTTAAAGGAAAAAACGGCGAATTTTGGGCCAAAATTCGGTTTTAAAAATCTTCATTTTCCACCCCAAAAAATCGGATTTTTCCCACCTAAAAATCTTCATTTTCCTACCGCAAAAATCTTCAATTTTTGCACCAAAATCGCGATTTTTTACCCCCCAAAAAATCTTCATTTTTGGGCTCCAAGATTCTCTTTTTTCTCCTCAAAAATCGCGATTTTCCACCCAAAAATCTTCATTTTTGAGCTCCCAAAATCCGGATTTTTTCACCCAGAAAACCTCAGTTATCCACCCAAAAATCTTCATTTTTATCGTCCCAAAATCCGGATTTTTCCACCCAAAAATCCTCAATTTTCCACCCCAAAACTGCAACTTTTTCACCCCAAAATCGACCTCCAAAAATCCTCAATTTTCACCTTAAAATCCGCCCCAAAATCCCGATTTTTCCACCCAAAAATCTTCATTTTTCCGCCCAAAAATTTTCAATTTTGGGCTCCCAAAACCGTGGATTTTCACCCCGAAAATCTTCAGTTTTCTGTTTCCAAAATCTTCATTTTTCCACCCAAAAATCGCCATTTTCCACCCCAAAAATCATCATTTTCCATCCTCAAATCTCTGCTTTTTTATCCCCAAAATTCTCATTTTTCTGCCTAAAAATCGCTGGTTTTGAAGTCCAAAAATCGCGATTTTTCCACTCGAAATTTCTCATTTTCTGGCTCCAAAATTCCAAAATTTTGTCTCAAAAAAACCCTGAATTTCACGTCAAAAAAATCCCAATTTTGGGTCCAAAAAATCCCAATATTGGGTGCAAAAACTCCGAATTTTTTCTCAAAAAAATTCCCAATTTTGTGTCAAAAATTCCCAATTTTCGGTCCGAAAACTCCAAATTTTTTGTCCAAAAAATTTCCCAATTTTCTGCCGAAATAAAATCCCAATTTTGAGTACGAAAATCTTCATTTTTTTAGATCCAAAAATCTCAATCTTGGGTCAAAAAAATCCCATTTTTGAGTCCAAAAATCTTCATTTTTTAGGTCCAAAAATCTCAATGTTGGGTCAAAAAAATCCCATTTTTGGGGTCCAAAAATCTTCATTTTTTAGGTCCAAAAACTCCAAAGTTTTTCTCCCAAAAAATCCCAATTTTGGGCCCAAAATTTTTTCATTTTCAGATGGGAAAAAAATCCCAATTTTTGTTCAAAAACCTCCAATTTTTTTTAACCAAAACCCCAAAATTCGCCGTTTCTCCCCCGAATCTTTTTCCCACGCTCCCCCCTCATTTGCATTTTTGGCCCCTCCCCCCTTTTTAACCCAAAATTCGCCGAATTCGCCCCAAATTTCGCTCCTGGGGCGCCCCCTGGTGGAAAACACCCCAAAAAAGCCAAATTTGGGGTTTTTTGCCTCAGTTTCCCTGGGATTTTAAAGGGGTGGGGCCACGTGGAGGCCACGCCCACATTGGCCACGCCCACCCACGTGACCACGCCCATTTCCCCCCTCTCCCCACCCCAAATTTGACTAAAATTTGAATTTTTTCGATGATTTTGGGCCAAATTTTTGGGTTTTAAAAAAAATTTTCCCGGGTGTTTCCCCTGCTTAGGCCACGCCCATTTTACCCCTAAGCCACGCCCCCTTTCCCCAAATTTCCTGCCCCCCAAAATTCCCAAAAAAATCACATTTTAAACACAAATTTTTCTGGTTTTAACCCAATTTTCCCCACCTCTGCCACGCCCCCTTAGGCCACGCCCTCTCCTTTAAACCACGCCCCCTTCCCCTTCAAACCCCAAAAAACCCCAAATTTTCCTCATTTTCCCCCCAAAAATCCCCAAATTTTCCTCAGTTTCCCCCAATTTTTCCTCAGTTTCCCCCCCAAAACCCCAAATTTCCTCTGTTTCCCTGTTTTTTCCTCAGTTTACCCCTAAAACTCCAATTTTTCCTCATTTTCCCCCCCAAACCCTGATTTTTCCTCAGTTTCCCTCATTTTTTCCTCACTTTACCCCCAAAGAACCAAGTTTTCCTCAGTTTCCCTCTAAAAAACCCCAATTTTTCTCATTTTACCCCCAAAAAAACCCAAACTTTTCTCATTTTCCCCCAGAAACCCAAATTTTCCTGTTTCCCTCCAAAAAAACAAATTTTCTTCAGCTTCCACCAATTTTTCCTCAGTTTCCCCCGTTTTTTCCTCAGTTTCCCCCCAAAAAACCAATTTTTCTTCAGTTTCTCCCCCAAAACCACAATTTTTCCTCAGTTTCCCCACTGTGCCTCAGTTTCCCCAATTTTTCCTCAGTTGCTCCCCCAAACCCCATATTTTCCTCAGTTTCCCTCCAAAAACCTGAATTTTCTTCAGTTTCCCCAATTTTTCCTCAGTTTCCCCATTTTTTCCTCAGTTTCCTCCATTTTTTCCTCAGTTTCCCCCCAAAACAACAAATTTTCCTCAGTTTCCCCAAATTTCCTCAGTTTCCCCCAACATTTCCTCCCTTTCCCCGCCGTGCCTCAGTTTCCCCAATTATTCCTCAGTTTCCCCAATCTTTCCTCAGTTTCCCCAATTTTTCCTCAGTTTCCCCCACCATTTCCTCCCTTTCCCCGCCGTGCCTCAGTTTCCCGAAACTTTTCTCAGTTTCCCCAAACTTTCCTCAGTTTCCCCCACCATTTCCTCCCTTTCCCCGCCGTGCCTCAGTTCCCCCAACTTTTCCTCAGTTTCCCCAAACTTTCCTCAGTTTCCCCAATCTTTCCTCAGTTTCCCCCAATTTTTCCTCCCTTTCCCCGCCGTGCCTCAGTTTCCCCAATTTTTCCTCAGTTTCCCCAATTTTTCCTCAGTTTCCCCAATTTTTCCTCAGTTTCCCCAAACTTTCCTCAGTTTTCCCCAATCTTTCCTCAGTTTCCCCCAATTTTTCCTCCTTTTCCCCGCCGTGCCTCAGTTTCCCCAATCTTTCCTCAGTTTCCCCAATCTTTCCTCAGTTTCCCCCACCATTTCCTCCCTTTCCCCGCCGTGCCTCAGTTTCCCCAATCTTTCCTCAGTTTCCCCAATTTTTCCTCAGTTTCCCCAATCTTTCCTCAGTTTCCCCCACCATTTCCTCCCTTTCCCCGCCATGCCTCAGTTTCCCCAATCTTTCCTCAGTTTCCCCCACCATTTCCTCCCTTCCCCCGCCGTGCCTCAGTTTCCCCCGCCCCGCTCAGCCCCAGCCGGGCGGCCCCGGCGACCAGGCCCGGCGGTACCAGCCGCGGTAGGTGAGGGCCCAGGCGGCCCAGCCCAGCGCGGCGCCGGCGGCGTTGCGGGCCCACGTGTGGCGGTAGCGCAGCGTCGCCACCAGCAGGAGGTGCCACGTCAGCAGCAGCAGCAGCGCCAGCAGGTACAGCACCGACAGCGCCGCCGGCGGCGCCTCGCCGCGGCCGCCGGCAAGATGGCCGCCGGCGGAGGGCGGCGGCGAGGCGAGGAAATGGCGGACGGAGGGGTCAACATGGCCGCCGGAGGGGTCAACATGGCCGCTGGGGTGGGGGAAGAAGAAGGCGGGATCAACATGGCGGCTGGAATCAAAATGGCGGCCGGAATCAAAATGGCCTCCAGAATAAAAATGGCGTCCAGAATCAAAATGGCGGCCGGGATGGAAATGGTGGCTGGATTCAAAATGGCCGCCGGAATCAAAATGGCCGCCAGAATCAAAATGGCGTCCAGAATCAAAATGGCGGCCGGGATGGAAATGGTGGCTGGATTCAAAATGGCCGCCGGAATCAAAATGGCGGCCGGGATGGAAATGGTGGCTGGATTCAAAATGGCGGCCAGGATCAAAATGGCCGCCACGTCTGTCTTCAAAATGGCGGCCGGAATCAAAGTGGCTGCCAGAATCAAAATGGTGTCTGGATTCAAAATGGCGGCCGGGTTCAAAATGGCCGCCCCAAAATGGCCGCCCCCCAAGATGGCCGCTGGGGTACTCAGCAGGCCCCGCCCACTCTGACGTCACTTCCCGTCCCCACCCCTCATTTGCATGAGGCTCCGCACACTCGAAGCCGATTGGTCGGGGAGAGCCGCCCGGTCGCCATATTGGGCGTGGCCATGCCCACGCCGCCATCTTGGATTCTTCTTCTTCTAGGTCGTGTCCGGCCGCCATCTTGGGTTCGGCGGCCATCTTGGGTTCGGGCGCCGTCTTGAACCAAGGCAGCATCCTGTACCAGGCCGCCATCTTGGACACGGCGGACATCTTGGATTCCTCAACCACCCTCCCTGCGGCGGCCATCTTGGACGCGTCCGCCACCTTGGATGTGTCAGCCATCTTGTATGGGTCGGCCATCTTGGATGCGTCAGCCATCTTGGATGGCTCGACCATCTTGTACCCAGTGGCCATCTTGTACGGGTCAGCCATCTTGTACCTGGCAGCCATCTTGGATGTGTCCGCCATCTTGTACGGGTCGTCCATCTTGTATGGCTCAGCCATCCTGTACCTGGCGGCCATCTTGTACGGGTCAGCCATCTTGGACTGCTCTACCATCCTGTACCCGGCGGCCATCTTGTACGGGTCAGCCATCTTGTACGGGTCGTCCATCCTGTACCCGGCGGCCATCTTGTACCCGCCGGCCATCTTGTACGCGTCGTCCGCCTTCCGCCCGGCGGCCATCTTGCCCAGCCCGTAGAGCCTCCTCCCCAGCGCCGCCGCCTCCTCGGCCAGCCCCAACCCACAATGCACCAGGGCGAAGGCCTGGGGGGCGGGGCCGAAGCCCTGCCAGCGGTGCCCCGCCCCCCGGCAGGCGGCGGGGTCTCCCAGGGGCAGCAGCAGGGTCCCGCCGCCGGGGGCGGGGCTGGTGCAGGTGCCCGTGGCCGCCTCCACGGCCCGGCCAATGGCGTGGCCGGCCCGCGACAGCGCCAGCCCGACGGCCAATCGGGCGAGGGCGCGCAGGGCGGAGCCCCAGGGGGGGCGGAGCCAGGGGTGGGAGGCCACCAGCAGGGAGCCAATCAGGAGCCAGGTCCAGGCGGCGGCGCTGGAGGTCAGGCGGCTGCGGGGGGGGGNGAATCAAAATGGCGTCCAGAATCAAAATGGCGGCCGGGATGGAAATGGTGGCTGGATTCAAAATGGCCGCCGGAATCAAAATGGCGGCCGGGATGGAAATGGTGGCTGGATTCAAAATGGCGGCCAGGATCAAAATGGCCGCCACGTCTGTCTTCAAAATGGCGGCCGGAATCAAAGTGGCTGCCAGAATCAAAATGGTGTCTGGATTCAAAATGGCGGCCGGGTTCAAAATGGCCGCCCCAAAATGGCCGCCCCCCAAGATGGCCGCTGGGGTACTCAGCAGGCCCCGCCCACTCTGACGTCACTTCCCGTCCCCACCCCTCATTTGCATGAGGCTCCGCACACTCGAAGCCGATTGGTCGGGGAGAGCCGCCCGGTCGCCATATTGGGCGTGGCCATGCCCACGCCGCCATCTTGGATTCTTCTTCTTCTAGGTCGTGTCCGGCCGCCATCTTGGGTTCGGCGGCCATCTTGGGTTCGGGCGCCGTCTTGAACCAAGGCAGCATCCTGTACCAGGCCGCCATCTTGGACACGGCGGACATCTTGGATTCCTCAACCACCCTCCCTGCGGCGGCCATCTTGGACGTGTCCGCCACCTTGGATGTGTCAGCCATCTTGTATGGGTCGGCCATCTTGGATGCGTCAGCCATCTTGGATGGCTCGACCATCTTGTACCCAGTGGCCATCTTGTACGGGTCAGCCATCTTGTACCTGGCAGCCATCTTGGATGTGTCCGCCATCTTGTACGGGTCGTCCATCTTGTATGGCTCAGCCATCCTGTACCTGGCGGCCATCTTGTACGGGTCAGCCATCTTGGACTGCTCTACCATCCTGTACCCGGCGGCCATCTTGTACGGGTCAGCCATCTTGTACGGGTCGTCCATCCTGTACCCGGCGGCCATCTTGTACCCGCCGGCCATCTTGTACGCGTCGTCCGCCTTCCGCCCGGCGGCCATCTTGCCCAGCCCGTAGAGCCTCCTCCCCAGCGCCGCCGCCTCCTCGGCCAGCCCCAACCCACAATGCACCAGGGCGAAGGCCTGGGGGGCGGGGCCGAAGCCCTGCCAGCGGTGCCCCGCCCCCCGGCAGGCGGCGGGGTCTCCCAGGGGCAGCAGCAGGGTCCCGCCGCCGGGGGCGGGGCTGGTGCAGGTGCCCGTGGCCGCCTCCACGGCCCGGCCAATGGCGTGGCCGGCCCGCGACAGCGCCAGCCCGACGGCCAATCGGGCGAGGGCGCGCAGGGCGGAGCCCCAGGGGGGGCGGAGCCAGGGGTGGGAGGCCACCAGCAGGGAGCCAATCAGGAGCCAGGTCCAGGCGGCGGCGCTGGAGGTCAGGCGGCTGCGGGGGGGGGGGGTTGATTATCGATTATTGGTTATTGATTATTGGGTATTGGGTATTGGTTATTGGGTATTGGTTATTGGGTATTGGTTATTGGGTATTGGGTATTGGGTATTGGGTATTGGGTATTGGTTATTGGTTATTGGGTTATTGGTTATTGGGTTACTGGGTATTGGGTATTGGTAATTGGGTATTGGGTATTGGGTTTTGGGTATTGGTTATTTGGTATTGGGTATTGGTTATTGGGTATTGGTTATTGGGTATTGGTTATTGGGTATTGGTTATTGGTCACTGGGTATTGGTTATCAGTTATTAGTTATTGGTTATTGGGTATTGGTTATTGGGTATTGGTTATTGGGTTATTGGTTATTGGGTATTGGGTACTGGTTATTGGGTATTGGGTATAGGGTATTGATTATTGGTTATTGGGTATTGGTTATTGCACATTGGTTATTGGGTATTGGTTATTGTTTATTGGGTATTGGGTATTGGGTATCAGTTNTATTGGGTATTGGTTATTGTTTATTGGGTATTGGGTATTGGGTATCAGTTATTGGGTATTGGGTATTGATTATTGGTTATTGGGTATTGGGCATTGGGTATTGGTTATTGGGTTATTTGGTATCGGGTATTGGGTATTGGGTATTGGTTATTGGTTATTGGTTATTGGGTATTGGTTATTGGGTATTGGTTATGGTTGTCGGTTATTGGTTATTGGGTAGTGGTTACTGGGTATTGGTTATTGGTTATTGTTTATTGGGTATGGGTTATTGGGTATTGGTTATTGGTTATTGGTTATCGGTTATTATCATTACCAATTACCAATTACTAATTATCAATTGTCAATTATCAATCCCAAATCTGCCCCATAACACACCCCAAACCCCAAATCTGCCCCACAGATCCCAAATCCCGCCACAAAAACCCCAAATCCCACCACAAAACCCCAAATCCCACCCCGAAAACCCAAATTTCACCCCAAAACCCCAAATTTCACCCCAAAAACCCAAATCCCACCCCAAAAACCCAAATCCCACCACAAAAACCCCAAATCCCACCCCAAAAACCCAAATTTCACCCCAAAACCCCAAATTTCACCCCAAAAACCCCAAATCCCACCCCAAAAACCCAAATTTCACCCCAAAAACCCAAATCCCACCCCAAAAACCCAAATTTCACCCCAAAACCCCAAATCCCACCCCAAAAACCCAAATTTCACCCCAAAACCCCAAATCCCACCCCAAAACCCCAAATTTCACCCCAAAAACCCAAATCCCACCCCAAAAACCCAAATTTCACCCAACAGACCCCAAATTTTGCCCCAGAGACCCCGAATTTTTCCCCAAAAACTCCAAATCCCGCCCCATAGACCCCAAATTTTGCCCCAAAAATTCCAAATCCCGCCCCATAGATTGACCCACAGACCCCAAATCCCACCCCAAAACCCCCCGAATTTTGCCCCACAGACCCCAAATTTTGCCCCAAATCCGCCCAATTACTGCCCCATAGACCCCAAATCCCGCCCCATAGACCCGAATTCCACCCCATAGGCCCCAAATTTCCCCCCACAGACCCCAAAATTTCGCCCCACAGACCCCAAATCCCGCCCCAAAAACCTCAAATCCTGCCCCATAGATTGACCCACAGACCCCAAATCCCGCCCAAAAAACTCCAAATCTGCCCCATAGATCCCAAATCCCACCCCATAGACCCCAAATTTCGCCCCAGAGACCCCCAAATTTCACCCCATAGACCCCAAATCCCACCCCAAACCCCCCAAATCCCGCCCCATAGACCCCAAACCACACCCCTAAAACCCCAAATTTCGCCCCATAGATTGACCCACAGACCCCAAATCCCATCCCAAAACCCCCAAATTTCGCCCCACAGACCCCAAACTTTCCCCCCAAACCCCCCAAGTCCTGCCCCATAGACTCCAAATTTCACCCCATACACCCCAAATCCCACCCCAAAAACCCCAAATTTCGCCCCACAGACCCCGAATTTTCCCCCAAACCCCCCAATTTTCACCCCATAGACCCCAAATCCCACCGGATAGATTCCAAATTCCATCCCAAAAACCCCAAATCCCGCCCCATAGACCCCAAATCTTACCCCAAAACCCCCAAATTTCACCCCACACACCCCAAAATTTCACCCCATAGAACCCAAATTTCGCCCCATAGACCCCGAATTTTTCCTCCAAACCCCCCAAATCCCACCTCAAAATCCCCAAACCCCACCCCAAACCCCCCAAATTTCGCCCCACAGACCCCGAATTTTTCCCCCAAACCCAATTTTC